GTGAGGAGTTAAAGTCCTCTAGTTTTATTGTAGTACTATCAACTTCTTCTTTTATGTCTTTAATAGTTGCTTTATGTAGTTGGGTGCTCCCATGTTGTGTCATAAATACTTACAATTGGTGTATCTTGTATTTTTTTAAATGTTACACAGTGTCCTTATTTGGCTCTTACTGCATCCTTTGTTTTAAAGTTTAAATTTTTTTGCTAAAAATATTGCAACACCAACTTTCTTTTTGCTTCCACTTGCATGGTAAACGTTTTTCCATCCCTTTCTTTCAATCTGCCTATGTCTTTAGGTCTTAAAGGCAGCATATAGATGGGTTGGGCTTTCCCATTCATTCAGTTACACTATGTCTTTTGATTGGAGCCTTTAGTCCATTTACATTTAAAGTAATTATTGATACGTGTGTACTTACTGCCATTCTGTTACTTGTTTTATGTTTGTTTTTGTAGTTTCTCTGTTCCTTCTCTCGCTCTCTTTCCTTGTGGTTTGATGGTTTTCTTTAGTGATATGCTTGCATTCATTCTCTTTCTTTTTTGTACCTATTACACATTTTTGATTTGCTATTACCTTTAAGTTCATATATAACATCTTATGCATCTATATTAAGTTGATTGTAACTTAAGTTTGAATCCACTCCAAAAGCTCTAGGTTTTATGCCTCCTGCCCTCATGTTTTTTGTATATGATATCATACTTTACATCCTTTTATTATGGAAACACCTTGATTTTTTTATAGGTATAATTTATCTTACTGCTTTTGTATTTTAATCTCTGCAGTGGTATTATAAGTAATTAATCTACTTCATTATGCTTGTGTTTACATGTGAAATTTTTTTCTTTCCTAATTTTCCTATTCTTGATTATGACTTTTCCTTTCTAGTCAAAGAATTCTTTAACATTTTTATTAAAGCTGGTTTTGTGGTGTTGAATTCTTTTTACCTTTTTTTTCTTTTTTGAGAAACTCTTTATCACTCTTTTTATTCTGAATGATAGCCTTGATGGATACAGTGTTCTTGATGCCTTTTGTTTACCTTTCAGCATTTTGAGTATATCATGCCACACCATTCTGGCCTGGAAAATTTCTGGTGAAAAATCATCTGACAGCTTTATGGGGATTCCCTTGTATATAACTGTTTTCTCCTGCTGCTTTTCAAATTCTGTATCACTATTTTTGTCATTTTAATTAGCATATGTCTTGGTATGGACCTCCTTGGGTTGATTTTTTTGGGTGTTCTTTGTGTCTCCTGGATCTGGATTTCTGTTTCCTGTGTCTCCTGGATCTGGATTTCTGTTTCCCTCCCCAGAAATGAGAGGTTTTTTTATTAATGTTTAATATGTAGTAAGTTTTTTTTTTCTTACAAATAGTTTATTGTCAAGTTGGTTTCCGTATAACACCCAGTGCTCATCCCCACAAGTGCCCTCCTCCATGCCCATCTCCCCCCTCCCTCCCACATTGATCAGTCCTCAGTTTGTTTCTCAGCATTCAAGAGTCTCTCATGGTTTGCCTCTCTCCCTTTCCCCTACCATTTCCCCCCTTCTTCTCCCCCATGGTCCTCAGTTAAGTTCCTCCTAATCCTCCTATATGTGCAAACATATGATATTTGTCCTTCTCTGCCTGACTTATTTCGCTAAGCATAATACCCTCAAGGTCCATCCATGTTGCTACACATGGCCAGATTTCATTATTTCTCATTGCCATGTAGTGTTCCATGGTATAGATAAACCACATCTTCTTGATCCATTCATCCATTGATGGACACTTAGGCTCTTTCCATGTTTTAGCTATTGTGGAGAGTGCTGCTATGAACATTGGGGTACACGTGCTCCTATGCATCAACACAGAAATGAGAGTTTTACAGCCATTTTATTTCTTTAAATAAATTTTCTGCCCCCTTTCCTCTCTCTTCTTCTGGGATCCATATAATGCATATTTTATTATACTTGGTTATGTTGCTGAGTTCCTCTAACCTATTCTCATTTTTATTTTTATTTTCTTTTTGCTGTTCAGCTTGGTTGCTTTCCATTATTCATTGATTTGTTCTTCTGTTTACACTAGCCTACTATTTATTCCTTCTAGTGTATTTTTAATTACAGTTATTGAGTTATCTCTGAATTGTGTTTTTTTTAATTTCCTATCTCTTTGTTGAAGGTCTCACAGCTATTGGTCACTCTTTTTTCAAGTCCAGTAAGTATATTTATGACCATTACTTTGCATTCTTTATCAGGCATTTTGCTTATCTCTGTTTCATTTAGCTCTGTTGCTGTGATTTTGTCCTCTTATTTCATTTGGGACATATTCCACTATCTTCTCAACTTTGTTTGTTTCTGTATATTAGGAAATTCAGTTATCTCTCCTGATATGAACGTAGTAGCTGTACAAAGAACAGATCCTGTGCTGCCATGTAGCACGATGTCCCCTATTCTCCAGAACCAGGCACTTCATGAATGTCTCCTAAGTGGATTATCTCTGCCCTACTATTTGGGCTAAGCATCATTTGCCTTCAGTTGAGATGGCTGCAGTGGCCTCTTTTGCATCTTTTGGGAAGGGCTTTGTCCCTGTGCTATTAAGAGAACAGTCTGGGGCCACCATGAGCATGTAGATCTCTCATGTCAGCCTTCAGGCCTGATGCCAGCCTTTGGCCTGTTTGCCGGGGGTGCAGTTGCCCTCAACCACTCTTCTTGTGCTGTCCTCTGAGAGTATTTGGTTGCTGGGAGCGTCCAACAGTCAGATCAGATGCCAACTCCCATTCTATCTGCTGGGGTGCAGGTGCACTAATTGTCAAGCCACTCTCTCTGCTCTGCCAGTAATAAGGTTCCACTGCTGCTGTTGGAGTTGAACTGGTTTGTGTGGTTATGTTCTACTCCCTCCAGAACAAGAGTCACTTTGGAGGCTACCAGTCACTGCTGTGGATACTTACAGATATGATGCAGCAGGAGCCATTTTGGAGGGGCTTCTGCCTTGGAGGGAAGGTTAGATAGGGTGCTGCAGGAGAATGTGGGCATGGGGCATAGATGTTAGCAAGATAGGTAGGAGGGTTCAAATTGGTTCCCACAAGTGTCTGATTATCAAGGCTGGGGGAGAGAAATAGCACATGCCAGTGTTTTTTGTTCTTGGGGAAATCTCCTAAAGCTCCCTGCCTCTCCAGCACACATTCTGAGACTAGTAAATAAATGTCTTTCATATCCCTAGGTGCATTTCAAAATGCTGTTTTTATGCTCTATCTCAGTAGGATTGTTATGCTATCTTTTTAAGGGTGGGAACTTAATTTTATTGCCCTCTGCCTCTCAGAGATGAGCCTCTGAATTTTGAAGTAAACAGAGTTAAGGGCACCTGGGTGGCTTATTTGGCTCAGGTCATGATCTCATGGTCCATGAGATCGAGCCCTGAATTGGGCTCTGTGCTGACAGCTCAGAGCCTAGAGCCTGCTTTGGATCCTGTGTCTCCTGTCTCTGCCCCTCCACCCACTCGTATGTGCGTGCTCTCTCTCTCTGTCTCTCTCTCTCTTAAATAAACATTTAAAAAATATTTTTAATTAAAAATAAAAAATAAAATAACCAGAGTTAAGTCCCCTGTTTTTAAAGCCAGATGTTATGGTGACTCATCTTTCTAGTACAGTTCCCCTCTGTCTGTGGTGCCTGGTGTGGGATGTGTTTCTTTCCATTCACCATTTTTGTGGTACTCCTCCTATTTGTACAAACTGGGAGTTTGGTTCCCAACTTATCTTCACCCCTTCTACTCTTTTTGATGTGACCTTCTCTCCATGATTGATGTGGAAAGCATTTTCTGCCAGTCTTAAGTCATTTTTTGTGTTGACTGCACTGATGTGGCTGTTATCCAGGTATGTCCCCGGATGCAGTGAATTTAGGATCCTCCTACTCTGCCATCTTCTCAGAGGTTCAACATAAATTAATCTTGTTTAAAAAAATAAACTACCATAAGCATGACTTCATACCTAGAAACATAAAAGAAATCTCATTACAAATTAACCAAGTAATAATTTAAAATTTATGTACACAGAATTGTCAAAAGCAAAATTAAAAAGCAAGCAATAATCTAAAAAATGATTTGTGACAGTGAACAGGTTGTATCCTTATATAAAATACATATGTCTCTATAAAAATATTTAATGTTCATGTTTAGATTATTTCTTTAGTAAAAAAATATTTAAGGAAGTTAGAAAAATGAATTCCTCTGACAAAAAATAGATGCCAAATATTTTTGTACTTGTTAATCAAGTAGGTTTATACTAATAATGAAATAATTTCCATTAAAATGATTTATAAAATGCCAAATGCCTAACATATATATCAGTTGGGAAAAGTGTGAGGAAGCAGCTGTCAATATTACAGGTAAATAGGAACAAAGACTAAGCATTTTCAGGAAAGCTATATGAAAATATGTATCAATTATAATAAAGATATACCTATAAATATCAGTGACATTGGAAATGTATAGTCCCTTTAACCCAGATATATTTTTTCATTTTTTAAATTTAATGTTGATAATAAAAAATATATATGGCAAATCTATTCTGACAAATATATTTGTATATTAGCTGAAAACCATCAAATTTCTGTTTTACATATTACTAACATTACCAGAACTAGGTAATTGTTAAATGATAATGAGTCACATTTTTATATTGTTCACAATTTTAATAGAACTGTCTATTGGCACTTCACTATAAATCAAAATGTTAGCTGTTGAATTGAGATAGAAACATATTCTGTATTAAAGAGTAAATGGCCAGGAGTAAATCTATAATTTTAATTTTTCAAAGTTTTATCAGGAATAGATGTTGAAATTTGTCAAATGATCATCTGGTATTTATTATTTATTTATTTATTTATTCTCTTCTTACTTGACATAATGTATAAAAATATTTTCTTAACTTTCAAATATTAAACTCTTCTTGGAATTAGACCACAGTAGGTAGATTTCAATAGTCTTTCTGTATTTAATTTACTAAAGGTTTTTTTTTTTTTCCATCTTGATAGATCAGGATATGGATGAACCCTCAGATTTTACCCCTGAAGATCTAAAACTTACTATAGGATACAAGGATCAAAGACAAACAAGTGGAGTTTACCAATCTCAAAGATTGAATGGTGTGTATAATACTTAAAAAACATATTTAAAGCTAGTAGTCATAAAACATTTGAAAATTTAAAAATACATCTAAAATGTGATAAGCTTTTAAAAAATTATTTATGTATTCTTTTACATAATCTTTACACCCAACGTGGGGCTTGAACTCCGACCCTGAGATCAAGAGTTGCATGCTCTAACTGACTAAGCAAACCAGGATCCCCAAATATGATCAGCTTCATTTATGATTTTATCATTGAATTTTTCTTTAGGTTGAATATTTAGAACATTAATTGTTAAAATTGGTTAGTTCTACAGAACTCATAAATGCTGTAAAGCTATTTGTATCATTCATTACTTCTCATAGTCTTTAATATTCTAATTATGATACTATATTTCTTAAATTTATTGACCAAAATATCCTATCCTTTTCTTCATCTTGGAATAGGGTTTTATGGAATACTAGTTTAGAAAACACTTCTCTAGGAATTTTATACAGAAATTATAATTATTTCATTTTTAGAAGTATAACATTTATCCATTATTCACATTCCAATTCTTATTAAGTATCATTTAATGCTAAACCATATTGATTATTATCCAGTAGAGCTTTTCAAGATATTGTTTATAGGTTTATAAAATTTTTCAAAATTTAAGTATTGATGGCAACTGTTGTATAATTTTAAAAGGAAAAGGAATATTTGTTTTTTATCTTGCTATTGATATTGCTATACAGGATTTTCTACAGTTTGTGACATGTAATTTTTAAAAAGTTATTTATTTATTTATTTAGTTGCTTGTTGTTTTCTCTGTTCAAACATGGATTAAGGAAAAATAGGATATTCTTAGAGGATTAGAAATTTTCAATTTAAGTTCTTGCTTAGTATAATAAATGATTGAATTTATCTTTAAACTTCTTATGAACCAAATAAAACCCATGTATTATAGGGTTTTTCTGTAACTTTTATTTTGAAATATAGAAAGCTTTAAGAATTAGTATAATGAACAGTTGTATGTCTGTGCCCCCACTTAATAAATATAATAAATCTAAAATATTAGATTTCCCTCTTCATTCTTCTCAGATGATTGCTTCCAATTCTGAATTAGATGGCTACTAGTTCAATTTATTTCTTTATATTTTTGCTAAATATGTTTATATCTATAAAGAATTTATTGTTTTATATGATTAAATGGTAGTATGCTACATGCTTTTTTCTTTAGCAAATTGGTTTTTCTTGTTGTTCAACAGTTGTAAGATTAATCACTGTTGATAATTTTAGGTCTTATTTATCTATTTTTATTACTATATAGTGATGTGGTTTTAAAATGTATTACAAATTTTGCCCATTCTCCTGTGGATATTTGGGCTATTTCTGTTAGGGGAAGTCTACCATATTCTTATGAGAGGTAATGCAGAGGCAGTGTTCAAAAGTACAGATGCTGGAAATAGACTGTCTGTTTTGATGCCTACGTATAGCACTTACTATGTAAACTAGTCTCTCCACAAATCTTGTTTCTTCATATATGAAATAGAACTAGTCATAGTATCTACCTTATAAGATTATTATGGGATTTATGTGAAGAGTGCCTAAACTCCATAAAATTTTCTGCTATTATTATTTGCTATATTTGATGGGAATTTTTCTACTATTTTTTGCAATTTGTTTGTTTTTAGTTTCAGGTTTTTATTTAAATTCCAGTTAGTAGGGGCTCCTGGGTGGCTCAGTCAGTTAAGTGTCCAACTTTGGCTCAGGTCATGATCTCACGTTCATGGGTTCAAGCCCTGAGTCGGGCTGTGTGCTGACAGCTAGCTCAGAGCCTGGAGCCTGTTTCAGATTCTGTATCTCCCTCTCTCTCTGACCCTCCCTGCTCACGCTCTCTCTCTCTCTCTCTCTCTCTCTCAGAAATAAATAAAACATTTAAAAAAAATTTTTTTAAATAATAAAATAAATTACAGTTAGCTACCATACAGTGCAGCTGTATACAATTTAGTGACTCATCACTTACACAGAACACCTAGTGCTCATCACAACAAATGCCCTTCATACCCATTAATGATTTAAACAATTCCCCTGCTGCCTTCCCCTCAGGTAACCCTCAGTTTGTTCTCTATAGTTAAGAGTCTGTTTTATGCTTTGCCTCCCCTGCCCCACTATGTTCATTCATTTGTTCTTAAATTTCACTTATCAGTGAAATCATGTGGTCTTTCTCTGACTTATTTTGCTAACAAAATAGTCTCTGCCTCTATCTCCATCATTGCAAATGGCATATTTCATTCTTTTTAGGGCTAATATACCACTGTGTATATGTACCATGTCTACTTTATTAATTTATTAGTCAATGGACATTTGGGCTTTTTCCATAACTTGGTTATTGTTGATAATGATATTGAGAACGTTGGGGTGCATGTATCCTTTCAAATCACTGTTTTTGTATCCTTTGGATAAATATCTAATATTACAATTGATGGATGGTAGTAGGGAGTTCTATATTTAACATTTTGAGGAAACCTCATTCTCCTTTCCAGAGTGGCTGTACCAGTTTGCATTACCAACAAGGTAAGTCTCCTCATCCTCACCAATATCTGTTGTTTCATGTGTTGTTAATTTTAACCATTTTGACAAGTGAGAGGTGATATCTCATTGTATTTTTGATTTGTATTTCCCTGATGATGTTGAGTATCTTTTCATGTTTCTGTTAGCCATCTAGATGTCTTCTTTGGAAAAAGGTCTATTCATGTCTTCTGCTTGTTTCTTAACTGAGTTATTTGTTTTTGGAGTGTTTTTATAAGTTCTTTATAGATTTTGGATACTAACTCTTTATCAGATATGTCATTTACATTTATATCATGTCCCATTCTAAATGTTGCCTTTTAAGTTTATTGATTGTTTCCTTCCCTGCACAGAAGTTTGTTTGTTTTGATAAATTCTCAAAGGTTCCTGTTTGGTTTTGTTTCCCTTACCTCAGGAGATGTATCTAGTAAGAAGTTGTTATGGCTGATGTCAAACAGGTTACTGCCTATGTTCTTCTCCAGGATTTTGATGGTATCCTGTGTTACATTTATGCCTTTCATCCATTTTGAATTTATTTTTGTGTTTGGTTTAAGAAAGTGGTCCAGTTTCCTTCTTTTGCATGTTGCTGTCCAGTTTTCCCAAGACCATTTGTTAAAGAGACTGTCTTTTTTCCATTAGAAATTCATTTCTGCTTTGTTGAAGCTTAGTTGACGATATAGTTGTAGGTCCATTTATGTGTTTTCTGTTCTGTTCCATTGATCTATGTGTCTGTTTTTGTTCCAGTACCATGCTGTGTTGATCACTAGAGCTTTGTAATATAATTTAAAGTCTGGAATTGTGATGCATCTAGCTTTTATTTTCTTTTTTCAAAATTGCTTTGACTATTCGGGGTCCTTTGTGGTTGCATACAAACTTTGGGCTATTTGTTCTAGCTCTGCAAAGAAAGCTGGTGTTCTTTTGACAGGGATTGCATAAGAATGTGGATTTTTTTGGGTAGTATAAACATTTTAACAATATTTGTTCTTCCAATACATGAGCTTTGAATGTTTCTCCATTTCTTTCTGGTATCCTCAATTTCTTTCATACATCTTCTACAGTTTTCATAGTACAGGTATTTCGCCTCTTAGGTGATGTTTATTCCTAGGTATCTTATGGGTTTGATGCAATTGTAAATGGGATCAATTCCTTGAATTGTCTTTCTGTTCCTTCATTATTGGTATATGTTTCTATATTGCATATAGAAATGCAACAGATTTCTATACATTGACTTTGTATCCTGTGACATTATTGATTTCATATATCAGTTCTAGCAATTTTTGTAGTGGAGTCTTTTTGATTTCTATATAGAATATCATGTCATCTGCAAATAGTGAAAGTTTGACTTCTTCCTTGCTAACTTGGATGCCTTATATTTCTTTTTGTTGTCTGATTTTTGAGGCTACAGCTTCCAGTACTATGTTAAAGAACAATGATGAGAATGGATATCGCAGTCTTATTTCTAACCATACAGGAAAAGCTATCAGTTTGTCTCTGTTTGGGCTGATACTAGCCATAGATCTTCCATATATGGTCTTTATTATGTCCAGTTATATTTCCTCTATCCCTTCTTTGTTGAGGCTTCTAATCAAGGCTGGAAGCTATATTTTGTCAAATACTTTTTCTGCATTTTTGAGAGTATCATGATTCTTATCCTTTCTTTTATTATTTTGGTGTACCACGTTGATTGATTTGCAAATATTGAGCCACCTCTGTAGTGTATTTACCCACTTGATCATGGTAAATAAATCTTTTAATGTGCTGTTGGTTTTGATTTGCTAGTATTGTTTAGAATTTTTGCATCTATGTTCATCAGGAATATTGGCCTGTAATTCTTTTTTAGTGAGGTCTTTGGTTTTGGAATCAAAATAATACTTCATAAAATGAGTTTAATATTTTTCCTTCCATTTCTATTTTTTTGCAACAGTTTAAGAATAATAGATATAAACTTGTCTTTAAATATTGGTAGAATTCCCCTGTGAAGACATTTGGCCCTGGACTTTTGGGTGTTGGGAGATTTTTGATTACTGATTCAATATTTTTGCTGATTATTGGTCTGTTCAAATTTTCTATTTCTTACTGTTTTAGTTTTGGTAGTTTATATGTTTCTAGGAATTTATGCATTTCTTCCAGATTACCCAATTTATTGACATATAGTTTTTCATAATATTCTCTTATAACTATATTTCTGTGGTGTTGGTTGTGATTTTTTCTCTCATTTGTGATTTTTATTTGAGTCTTTTCTCCTTTTTTTTTTTTTTTATAAATCTGGCTAGGGTTATTAATTTTATTAATTCTTTCAAAGAGCCAGCTCCTGGTTTCCTTGATCTGTTCTACTATTTTGCCATTTTGTTTCTGTCCATCTATTTAATCTGTAATCGTTATTTCCCTTCTACTGACCTTAGGCTTCATTTGTTGTAGTTTTTCTAGCTCATTTAGGTGTAAGATTAGGTTGTATATTTGAGATTTTT